GCCGAGTCCTTCCAGAGGAAGTTTTTAAAAACCAGGTTTATATGTCAGCTGCATGCACCATGCAAAACAACTAATTAAATGTCAGCATAAATGTGTGTTTAATATTTATCTGAGATAGTATCTTCTTTACAGATGTTATTGAGTGTGATATCGTTCTCAGATTAAACGAGAACAGAGTATCTACTAATTGTTTCGGGGGGGTTAGAAAAACAGCTCCATGTTTTATTTTATTTAGTGATCTGAGCCTGTGCAGATAAGATTTTACTTATTTGATTGCCTGCTGTTTTTTTTAAGGTGTCAAAGGAGCTTTTTTTTTTCATTTTTTCATAATTAAATACAGTCGTGTTAAAAAAAAGGTTCACTCCCGATCAGTTTTACGGTTGTCCAGTTTTCCAGAGCCCTCATTTTTTTAGAATTTGTCTCCAAACAGACAGATTTTCTTGTTGATGTTCTTGAGTTGAGTGATGTTTTAGTGGAGATTGGAATGAGAGGGTTCAGGCTCTCCTGAAGAATAAAGGAGTAAATAGTCACTTTAAAGTTTGTCCGGATTATATAATCTCTGTATTTAACTTAATTACATTTATAATTTAACATGTATCAATAAATCACTTCATATTCCTTTAAATCTGTGAATAAATGAGGGTCAGCTCAAGACATTTTCAGTCAAAAAAGCCATTTTTCCTTTTTAACATGACTGCAAATAACTTTATTTGAGCCCTGCTTGATTTCTAATTTGATTTCTAATTAATTTGTCCACGTGGCTAAAAATGCTGAGCCACACTGACAGAGCATTTGTTCAGGACACATGCTTCCTATCTCCAGCTTTAACATCAGGATACAGGGGGTAGTGTGGGGCATGGAGGTGTCGGTGTTTATGCTCCCCATACCTGCAGCGCATCGGTCTGCCAGCAGGGGGCAGCACAGGCTACACTAAAACATCACACAGCAAGCCTCCCACAGGTCTGGTTCTTTAGTAGGGCTGTCACCATGCTAAAATTTTTAACTCCATACCGATACTCAGGAAAATATTCGATACCATTTTCGATACCACAAGGATAAAAACAAAGACCTCAAAATTTAACTGAATTTTGACAGGTTAGTGTCTTTGGTTTCAAACTGACCTGTTACTGATGTTATGGTGGCCCACATTAATGACCCTAACCCTAACCCTAACCCAGACCTGACCCTAAACCTAACCCTGACACTGACCCTAACCCTAAACCTAACTCAGACATGACCCTAACCCTAAACCTAACCCTTAACCTCCAGCCTTCATAATTGTGAGAAATAAATATTTTTTGGTTAAACTTGTTTGGACTTATTGTACAAACCTATTTAACATCCACTATTTTAACATAATATTATGGATAGAGTTTAATTCAGTGTTTGCAAGATTCATTTAACCATTTTTAAATTAATGTCTATATTGACATGAAGCAATTAGGATTTTCTTGCCTGGGATCTTCCTATTGGTGACCTAATCAAAATGGCCGACTTGGATGTGGGGGGGTTGGATATCCATCCTTGGCTTCCTGCAGACTTGATTAATGTTGGCG